CGGATCCAAATAGGCCACCTAGAAAATAATAACATTCTTAATGAGCATTGCTAAATAACTAAATACTTTGGTTCGATAATAATTCATACCCTTTCTAGTATTTTCATCATATCCAATCAATGAAAATTTATCTCCAATTGGGCTCTAAAAACATTCGAAGGAACGAAAAATAAATCAATAAAACAATAATATAAATTCAAAAAAAAGAAATAACACTCACTTGAAGTTTTTGCAAAGTTCGATTGTATCGCTCAAAGTGATTGAAAAAGTACCATCTCATGGTATTTATATAATTATGCATTATCTCAAATGCAACTTCACTATATCGCTCTATCACGAATTGATAAAGTGCTTTATATTTTAACAAAACGGATTGCTGCAGAATTTGAACATTTGTGTTTGGTATGCGGAGTGACCGTATTTTGTTCAAAAGAAAGTCACGAATTTTCTCGGTTGCCTAAGTTTAATTACCAAGAATTAGAGACCTATGATTATTTTCTCAATAATATATCAAATTTAAATGTAACAATACCTTTAGACGCAATTTTTCCATTTCTGGCCCGACATCTCTAATCGCCTTACCATTATTTGTTTGTCCATTTTTTACGTAGGTCATTTTTTTATTAAGCTCCATTAAGTACGCTAACCATGCTTCGTCAACATCGTCCTCCGTAATTACTCTAACGAATTATGAAGAACATTAATCGTGTTGCGTTAATGATGTAACTTCATTTTTAAATAATAAATTACTTGATCATGGACGGCGATATTACAGTTCCTTCTAGAACTGTGCTTAATTTTTTTTCCACATCCTACAACAAAATTAAATTTTTATTTTGCCTCATAAACCTATAAATACTATCTTTGATACTCTAAATACATACCGTTCGATTCTTGAGTTTTATGTTCATTGAAAATGATTTATCCTGTAATGTTTGGATTTCTGTGCTAATGTTACCCAAATCCATTTGAAAAACACTCAACATATTTTCCATCGTTGCTAAAGTTTGATCGCACGACTTATGAAAAATATTGTTAGATTTTAATTCGATTCTTTGTAAATAATAAACTAAGTATTCTATTAATCATTACCTGAATCTGATTATGAAGTTCTATGAAATTTTTAGCTTGATTAATATCTGATCAATATAAATCGTCAAAGATTTACGATTGTGTTATTACTAGCAAGAAGATTTTAAATCATTAAAGGATACAATCTATTTCATGTTCCCGTTCGATTACACTCAATTCTTTTTCTATATTTCGTGCATATTCTCGCAAATCCATTCCCTAAAAAAAAGATAATATAGAATTATTTCACTTGTAATAATTTAATTCATGAAATTTGTATATTATCACCTTAGCAAATGCTTCGCGCACAAATTCATCTTCCTGGAATTCAGAAATATGGTCTAAACATAATCAAATATTATTATTAACGTGCAATCTAATTTATTCAATACATTCAAGAAATAACTTCCATACCATCTACTTCATCAAATGAGATTTCCCAATCATCGTCTCCAAATAAATTATCTTCGTTATCTTCATCAAAGTCCTAATAACATGTTTATTCTTGTGTTATTGACACTTAAAATATGAACTGCTAACGACCACTCATTTCAGGTGATATCATCCTACATAGAAAAATCTTAACTTCAACTTTCTTTTATTACAAACATGCCTAATGAAAACATATGAAATGTTTTATAACACATTACCTTGAACGATTTTACAAGAACTAAAAAAATATAATCACTATACCTGATCAGTAGGCCCTAATAAGCTTTCGAGTATCCTCTCATTCGGAGTGGAGGGTGGTTGTTCTGTTATTTCAATCATTATTTGGGAATTTTCTCAAACATCATACATACGTATGTAGTTTAAATCGACACCTTTCGCCAGGTTTTGTCGATCTTTAGTCACGTGGATACACGGCTTATTCAACTAATCGATTTATTATCAGCTGAATTGCTGCGATGAAATTTTTTTCATATGGACCGATTTGAGGAATTGCTGATATCTTTTGATCTACTAATCTGTTCTGGATGATTTAGTTACCAAAATGTTCGTCTCAATGAGACGATTCTAACGAGCCTAAAATCATTAAAATCCAATCATGGGATCCCGAGATCGTTCAAGTTTTATGTGATTTTAATAAGAGATTTTAGAATTACTATGTAAATATGTTTGACAGTGAATAGCTTTTGATCCACTGGTCCGTTTTGAATATTTTAAATGCCAAAATGTTCGTCTCAATGAGACGATTCTAACAAGCCCAAAATCGTCAAAATCCAATCACAGGATCCTGAGATCGTTAAAGATCAGTATTATGTAGACAATTACTCAATGAATTGATTTTTATATATAAAAATCAATTCGTTGAATGATTGTCTACATTATACTGATCTTTAATAGTAGGTTAGTGATGTCCAAAAAATTTTACTATTTCGTGTAACCTGAGCTTCTGGACCTCAGTCGGCTGGTACGGATTCGAACATCAAATTAGATCTACAAAGTGCTAATACAAGCATAATGCAAGCTAGCTAATATTATGCAAAATTATGATCTAAGCAACTTTATTTAGCTTATTGGTTAGCAGGTTTATTAGTAAAATTCATTAAAATTTGGTAATTTTCGGGCATAATTAATTGGGTCCAGAGGCCAGATTATACGAAATAGTAAAATTTTTTGAATATCACTAACATACTAGATCTTTAACGATCTCAGGATCCTGTAATTGGATTTTGACGATTTTGGGTTTGTTAGAATCGTCTCATTGAGATGAATATTTTGGCATTTAAAACATCCAAACCGGACCAGTGAATCAAAAGTTATTCACTATCAAATATATTTACATAGTAATTCTAAAATCTCTTATTAAAATCATATAAAACTTGAACGATCTCAGGATTCTATAATTAAATTTTAACAATTTTGAGCTCATTAGAATCATCTTATTAAGATGAACATTTTGGTAGCTAAATCATTCAGAACGGATTAGTAGATTAAAAGATATTAGCAATTTCTCAAATCAGTCTATATGTTCCAAAAATCGGTGCATATGTATAAATTTTATAAATTTCTGTAGCAATATATTGCTAATTCTCCAAATACAATTTGTATTATCCTTTCTGAATATTCTATAGAATGGGTAGACAAACTCCGCAAACCCTGCAACTCTGCTATTAAAAAATTAATGATTACTAATCATTGTTAGGTATGAAGCTTGGAATTGGATAATACTGAAAATTTGGATCTCAATTTAAATCTATATATACTCTTTTATTATAAACTCTAACCCTAAATTTAAAAATAATAGCTCAAAA